GGGAGAGACAAAAGACCGGAATGAGGTTTGGAACTAATAAAAACTAATTACAGCCTGAGGAACCTGGCGAACTTAGAGTAAGTTGAAGCACCCTCAAATGGACGGGTCGGTTTGCATACCGGTCGGGTGTACGCCTTTTGTGGAGGGAAACGGCCATAAATGCGAGCGGGAAGTAATTAGGGCTGAGAGAAGGCAGCAGAGAGAGTGAACAGGTGGAGGCGCTAACTTCTGTTCGAGAAGACGGCTTTGGGGATGCCGCGAGTGAAGAGAATGAATGAAGGGAATTGCCGAAGCAGACTGCGAGGTAGACAACGATGGGATAAAAGGAAGGGAAATATTTGGCCAGCCAGCATAAGGAATGCGATAACGCAAGTATAGTCAGCGCTGTGAAAAAGTGATAACCACGGGAAACCAATGCAAGCACATGAGAAACAAAAGGACGAATAAACATTCAGGGAAGAGAACATTAGCTAGGCATATGTACATGCATTTGTAAATATATATGTAATTAGGAAAAACTCTTACTAATGCCTGGGTCTGACAGGGCGCGGATACATGAAGATGACTTGAGAAATACACATACGTGTACCTATTTAGCTTTGTGGAGGGAATGGATAAAAATGAACAGAAAATAGTGCTAAATAGAAATAAAGACTTAGAAAGAGTCTACTATGTGCAGCTGATACCAATATACTAGACACATTACCGGATGGATAGATCAACAGAATGATGGATGCTTGAAGAATGTATCAACATATGCATATGTATGTATGCATGTATGTATGTATACGCATGCATGGGAATGCATACGAGGTAAGGATGGATGAATAAAGGGATATTTAGAGGAGGAATAATAGGGAGAAATTAGTAGACCAAAAGGTGGAGCTTCATTTAAATATTTAAGTATTTACGGAAAGAGCCATAGCTTCTGACTGAAAGCAGCGTTTGAGTGGACAGATTCTCTTAGAAGAGAGATGCAGAAAGAGGATATTATAAGGAGAGCTTTTCACCAGCCTATGCAGATTCAGTCGTCAAACAAGGTATCAGAGCGGCTAGTTTTGACGAAACATGTGAAATAGGTGAAGTCGGTTTATGGTGTACTGGTGGACCGACTTTTGCAATATCAAGTGGAGTGAACAAACTGATAGCTCTGGATTTTATTACCCTGTTCTGTTGTCTCTTAAACAGCAAGCAAGAGGGGTGAGGAAAAGAAGGAAGTAGAAAAAGGGGTTGGAGCAGACAAAGAGTTGCAACAATACAGAAGATATATATAATTTGTTGTATGACCTTGGAAGCGATGTTAGTGATGGTATTCATTCAGCGTTAAAGGGAGAAACATGATTTTCCTATGAATTTTACTCTCCACCGCACATCCCAGCCTGATTCAAACCCGTGACGTGCGAATCGAGGCAGACATGTCAACTGTAGTTGATTAAAGAGTCATATTCACTCAGTCCCACGACTAATGCTACCCCATAAAATGTGATTTTTGAGAGGCCTGATTCACCCTGAAAGCCTCATTTATCATGTCACCAAGTGACTTCCGTTGCTGCAGTAGGGGCAGTGACAATACTCTTATGCAAGAATCACTGATAGTCATGAGGCCTCTAAAGATCTCGTAAGGCCTACTCAATGCACTGTGGGAGAACTCTAACATCAGTTGGTACATCATCTTAAGCGATCTAGATTGACTAGATTCTTGTCTCTCATTGCCCTTTCAATAAGGGACCTTTGCAGGCTGTATGAACTAATATTCCGTTTATAAGTAGCGTTTCGAGACTGCCAATAAATCAGTTATATGAGATGCATTCACCATATTTCGTTTAAGGTGATGAAGAATTGGTAATTAAATTTTCCCATCGTCATATGAAAAGAGCTGTTCCCCTTGCATTTCACATAGCCTCGCTTTCCCATGACATTTAGGATGGACTGATGCTGCGACCTCGCATAGGAC